GGTCAGCCACGATGGACACTCTGCTGCAAAGCTTCGTTCATCATGGCTCACCGCTTCCCTGGTTTCCTCCGAGGTCGAGGTATGTCAGTGATGCTAGGAATCCCAGCTCCGGTGGGATATAGCTTGTAGGGAGCTGCGAACGAGTACAGGTTCCATCTCGTCGCAGCTGGGAAGGCTGGTGGCTCTGGCGTACCTCGACGTTGAGAGAAACCGGCTGAGCGGTCAGCCAGGACGGGCACTGCCGCGAAACTTAGTTCATCGTGGCTCACCGCCTACCTGGTACCTCCCAAGGTCGAGGTGTATCAGGGTCGCTAGTCCCCCCCGCAGCCGTGGGACTCGCACCCTGCCATGGATCAACCTTGCGAGAAACTGCTGAGCGGTCAGCCAGGACGGGCACTGCCGCGACACTTTGTCCATCACGGCTCACGGCTCAGCTGGTATCTCCCAAGGTCGACACACGTCGGGTGTTCGGGTTTCTCTAGTTCCGGTGGGGCTTTCCCAGTGGGCATGAAGCATGTCCTAACGTAACGGGGGACAAATAATCGTGTCGACACATTAGTTTGTGGAAGGTCTGTCTGCCTTTGTCATTGAATTTACTCCTACCATATATTTTGTTAGCGTGTGATTGGACCTTCGAAGCACCCGCTTTCCCCACGTCGCGGGTGACGGGTGTGCTGCATCACTGCTACCGGAGGTCCTGTGCTTCCGTGTCAAGGATGTCCCGCTATAAACGTTACACACATGGCGAACTCGTCGCCCATCGCGGCTGCGCCGGAGACATCTAGATAGCGTGCGAGGGAGCTGCGGCGTGAACAATCGGTCCAGGATGGTTTATAACGGGCCCACCCAACCATGCATAAAGCTTCGCACAAACGATGGTCAACATGAGAAGATGGGATGCACCATGTTTTCGTAAAGTTGCTGCCCCCAAACAAACTGTCACGGATGTTTGAGGCTTTGATATTCGGTTCTCGTCCGGCTCATGGTCGTCCCTCTGCGTGAAGCGGTCGGACCACGCGCTGTTCATTTGTTGCGAGCGAGCTGAATCCCCATTGGTTAAAATGTCTGCTGTCATGCTGTCGTTAGTGTTTTTTGTGTGCAAAGGTTGTTGCGAGCGAGCTGAATCCCCAATTGTAATACAAGATTACAATATACGAAAAATATGCCTGCTGTCCTGCGGTCGTTTGTGTACGTGTACAGGTTGGGTCAAGGTACCCGACAAGGTTCACGGTAAGCGGTGTGCCACTCGACACGGCCTCATGGCGCTGTTTGTACTGGCCTTCCCGTCGGCGGGGATGGGGGTGAAGCTTATTGGGGGCATGACCACCTTCGGCATGACGATGAACAGGTGCGCTGTTAAGTGGCAGCAGCTGTAGTCGCAGAAGCAGTTGTAACACATTGAAGACCGTTCCGATCTCTCTATCCAGAATCTCCATATGCCGTACTGCTGTTAGTACCTGTTGTTGTCGGGGGGGGTGCATGACCGCCTTCGGAACGACTGTGAACGGCTGCGCTATAGCAGCAGTTGCTGTCTCAACAGAGGTACTTGATGTTTTGTTTTAGACGAATAGCCGACGTCGCCGCAGCGACTAGCCCCTTCAAGCGTGACTGGTAAAGTGGGAGACGCCGAGCCACCCGCACCAGCTGAGGCCACCTGCCGGCAACCAGATGTCACCGGCTAAGTCAGGTCACACTTCAATAGGCTGGAAAGTTGGTCCCGCATGGCGCTGCTCTAGCGTTGTTAGCATTACACAGCGGTCGGAGGACGAGTCAGCAACACTTGCACGTACGTCACGTAGATAACACAACGATTGAAGGACGAGTCAGCAGGGCTGGCGATAACCCCTCCTTGCCTTCTTTTTTCTTGTTCATCGCTGTTTGTGGCATCCACAACAAATTCATGGACGAGTCAGCGACGCTTGCGAAAATGCCTCTTAATTTTTATTTGTTCAGTTCATCGCTAGCATTACACAACAATTAAATGACGAGTCAGCAACGCTTGCGATAGGGCCTTCTAGCGTTTGTTTGTTGTCTTCATCGCTAGCATCCACAACGATAAAATGACGAGTCGGCAACGCTTGCGCCTACGTTGCGTGACAATCGACCCACGAACAAATCGTGCTGCAGGGATGGGCCGGAGCTGAAGCGGGATGACAACGGACAAGTGGCAGAGGTCAGGCTACCGTCGAAGCTGTCGTCGGCCATGTCCTTCCTCGCGGTGATTGGCAGCATTTTTGTGGGAAGTGCTGTCGGAGGGACCTTCTCCCAGTACATCGGGAACCGGATCTTGATCAGGGAGACGTGGATGGCGAGTGAAGCTTGTGTAGCGCAAGTATTGTGGTTAATGCTGGGACCTCAAGAGCTCAGGAATATATTGGAGGTCGTTTGGTGTAACTTCGTTTTTGCATGTTCTTGTTGATGCTGTTGTTGGCGACGTTACATTGTATTGTGTTGGTACAACCATCGACAAACGACACGCACGTAGAAGGTAATACACGCTGCTTTCTTCATTTTTGATCATTTTTGTTTGCGACATTTGTCATTTTGTGTTTGCCTGGCCGTTGCTTTCAATGTTGTTGTCGTTGTGTCCAACCCGGAGGTGTTGGGAACATAAAAAAAGCTGTACACGCATGTCTTTTGTTTAAGAGAGATATGGCGCGCGTTTACAGGAGTACCCCCCCCCACTGCATTTGGGGCCGACAGGCAATGGTTTCATGGTAAAAGGTCAAATGGCATGGGAGGCATCAACCCCCCCCCCCCCCCCCCCCCCCCCCCCCCCCCCCCCCCCCCCNTCCCGCCGTGCTCTGTCTGTTATATCAGGACTTGTCTGTGCAGTTTTTCCTGGGGATGGCGTCGGCGTTCATCACAACATGGCGGGACCCCTATACCGGGCCTGCTGTCGCCAAAAAGCGGGGCAGGCGGGGACGCGGTGGTGGAGATTGATTTGAGTTGGGGTTTAGTCTAGTAGTCGTGATTTTTTTGTGTCGTTACAATGTTTTTTTGTTTCACTTCCTGCGCTCGGACTCGGCTCGTTTTTGTTTATTAAATGAACACGGAAGGAATGCTGTTTCACGTTCGTCGACCATGCGAACGCTTCTTTGTGCGAGATAGACAAATGTGTGGAGCCATTGAGGAGAGAAAATCACAACGATTTGCCATTGTGGAATGACGACGACGATAACAATCGAGTTGATCTCAAAATCTAGGTACGCAGAGGCGTGCTTTTTTATCCATGCCGTGTGTACGTTGACGACGCGATTGCATTGGTGGATTTTTTTTTTGCTTCAAACCTCGCCAGCAGAGTGCAAGCAAGGGGTGGATAGATTAGAAGAACGAGTCTTTCGTGGGATTCCGTTCCATGTGCAACCACGGAATTCCATTCCAGGCGAGGAACCCGTTTGGCCGGGGCGGTGCTGCTGGTATCTTTTTCGTTGGCTGAGGCCCAGCTTTCGCTGAAAATGAAGGTGGTTCATTCGCCCGCGGCCAAAAAATAGCACGGCCGAGCGATTCGATGAATGATGGATTAGATTATCAAGCGGGGAAAGGTAAAACGGAGGCCAGATTTTTGGTTTGCGAGCAGACTCTCTCTCTCGCTCTCTCGCTCTCACTGTTTGTTTCCCGCGGCCGTTCGAAGAAGAAATATTCTTGTGCGTTTGGTGAAAGAGACCAAGAAGACTCTTCTCTGTGTTTGCACCTTCCCCTTCGGTTGGTGCAACCAAACATAAATCTGGTGCCCAGAAAATAATATGAACGGCATAACGCCTAACGCCTGGAACAGCAAGTTATTTCTGAAGTTCCCTCACACAAGGGGGGGGGGGACAGTCTAGAGTCACTGCACATTGGCCACTTTTACTCAGGAACGCCTGTGGGGGGGGGGGAGCGGGCGTACTTGTGTTTTTTCATGCCTAAATAACTGTATAGACTATTGACCGCGCGTTCTCGAGAGGAACCGGAGCATTGGTCCCACAGAAGAACCGATCACCGATGGCCAATCGTTCCTTCGTACTTTGCCAGAGGGGCGGGGGGGGCGGGGGCGGGGGGACTCCAACGTCAAGATAAGTTTGGCCAGCTGTTTACCAGCGGCCCTCTGTCTGTTGGAAGCAGACATCGTGAACGAACCCTTACTACGCAGCGGCAAGATAGGGGCTGTCAGTAACTGGTGCGCACCGCTAGTGGGGGACATGCAACCACCTACAGTACACCTTCAATACAAACATGTCGCGTCATCCGACGGCGGCGGCGGAGACTGCGCCCTGCGCACTTATCGCGCCGGCTCCAGACGATGGTAACGATGATAGAGGAGGGGGGGGGGGGGTACTCATAGTCGTGCATGCCGTAGTTGTTAGACCATTGACCTCGCATCCCTACAAAGCCGGTTCGGAGCACGCCGGGTTCTCACCGAACCAAGCTCTCACATCACCAAGCGCGAAGCACCGTGAGGTAGTATTCGGCAAGTCGCATGAAGGGTGCGCTGCAACCATGGGGGGGAAGCGCTTTTTGTCTGAAGTGCAACCATAACCAACCAACCGCTCGTGTGTGTGTGTAGTCTCTGTTATTGAAGCATGGACCCCGGCAACCAACCGGCTGGCCAACGGGGAGGGCGTGCATGTTCGTGGTATGTAGGCACCACACACACACGCGCCCATCAGTAGGTGAGGTCTTTATGGTCGCATCGCCAACGGCGGAGAGGACGGCGGGATTGCGCGGACTCGCTATTGGAGGGTCTAGCCTGATCGTGAGTTCGGCCACGCATCAACCACGGAAGAAGAGTGTGTGGTGGCGAAATTGAAACGTGTACATACGTACGTACCACATGCTGAGGAGGCCAAGGGTATTTTGGGAATTCTTGTGGACCGCCTCGCATCCATGTCGGTGCTGTCAAGGGCTAGCAAGCGCGGCCGCGCAGACCTGCCAAGAGGGAGAGGATACGGCTGCCGAAAAAGAACAAGGCCCGCTTTGACTTACACTGAAAGCATCTATGTATCCCCCCCCCCCGCCCCCCCTGCCCACAGCGCATCAAAGCTGAGCATTTTTGGTTGAGACTCAAAACCATCCGCCATCCACAACGGAAACTCTCTCTGCTCGAATATAAAAAAAAATGACTGATCACGGGAACAAAAACGTAGTTGTCAATCCGCGTTTGTCAAGGATAAAAGATACCAACCACGTACGTACGTAAATAGGTCTGTCATGGCAACACACTGACAGCCCCTCAACATGCAAGCAACCCCTCTTGGTTGTTACTTTATTCTCCAACAGAAATCAAGAAATGCTCTCCGTCCTGTCTGTTCGTCGAGCCCATAGTATAGGCAAAGCAAGCTACGTCATGACGATATATAGTCTAGATATGTCTCCTCCCCCCAAGCCTCAAACAACGCTCGTTCACAACCCACTTACAGTACACCCCTAGCCGTGTATCACCGTTTCTGTGTCCATAGTCTACAATAACGATTATCGGCCAACATAACAAGTTGGTCACACAGCACGCCGCCAAACAAACAGAACAACCAACCCGTTAACATAAAAAATCGTTTTCGAAATTCGACAGAGGACGGACATATAGTCTATACGTGCATGCGTGCCCGTTCGCGTTTCCCTGAGAGGAAAAAATGAAAAAAAATAATACAAGTACATAATTCGAGCCTTTTTGCTGCTGTTCGACTGACTCAAGAGCCAGGCGTGGAAATTTTTTATCTATTTATCATTAGGCTAGGAGGAACTTGGTATCGAAATAACGGAGTGATAGATGCTCCTCCACGGGCAATAAATATATCATTTTGGCGGCCTCTCTCTCCCGTTCTATTTCATTCAGGCGATGGTATTTGGGCAAAACGCGCACACTGGGCAACTTCTGGCGCTGTTTGCACCCCCCCACTTGCGGTGACGCTTCGGCCAAACGGAAAGACAGCTCAATAGGCAACTTCTGGCACTGTTTGCACCCACTTGCGTGCACCGCGGAATTCTTTTATTTATTCAGCGTGCACTGCTGCGCCGGGATAAACGCACAACACGATTGATTCGGTTCAACAGAGTCACCGAAGGCTATCTATCTTATACGTACGTCTTACTTGTGCCTTGTCCAGTAATTTCAAGCCAACAATGAAGAAAGAGATACCACCATCAACATATGAAACCCGTTTCACCTCCAACAAACCAACACACACACGCGGGACCAAACCCTTCATACGCGCACAACACATACACGCGAGACCAAACCCTTCATATGCGCACGCCTGAAGGTTCCAAACTAAACAGCAGAGGCAAACAAAACCAAGCAGGAAAAACACAAACTCTCCTCCGAGAACACAAAGACCGAAAAATGGCGGTACTACTTACTGCCGTACCACGACACGATCCACGTGAGCGAGAGATCAACCCTTGCATAGACAGCCGGCTAGCCCATCTCCCGTTCCCCCCTGTTTCGTCTCCCTGTCCGCTCAGTCTAACCGGCGAACGCCCGTACACCAGCACGACCCCGCGGGCTGAGCGCCTTGCGCGGGCTCTGCGCCCACTTTACCACGCCGGCAAGCTTCGCTCTCGCCTTGTCCTTGAGGCTGCCGCCTCCCCCGTGGCTGGGAGACCCCGAAGATGACCCGCCATCGCTGCCGCTACCGCCGTTCCTACCGTCGCCGTCCAAGACTCCGGTTCCGGCCGGGGCCGCTGGCGCCGCCACCGCCGGCCCGACGACGCCTTCCTTGACCCTCTGTCCAAACCTCCTCATCGCGGCCACTGCTCCTGTCGACGCCAGCGACGCGTCGGCGGCGCTGCCGCCGCTGCTGTTCCTGCCGCCGGCGCCCCCCCCCCCCCCCTTCCCTCCAGCGCTCGCGAAGAAAGACCCTTCCCGAATGAGGTCGTTCTCGAGGGTGAGCATTGACGGCAGCACGAAGGCATCGTCCTCATCGGCGCCGATGTTGTCCTCTTCCTCGCTGCTCTCGCCCGGGAGGTCCTCTCGCCCGAGCCCGAAACTCGGGCGCACGCTCCCCCCCCCGCCAACGCCGCTGTCGATGTCGCTCGCCGCGCTGCTGCTCTGGTAACCCCCGCCGTACCCGCCGCCGCCATCTCTGCACGAGGAAGACTCCGCCCCGCTCGTCCACCCGGTGCTCGTGGACGCCGAGGAGGCCATAGTCTTCGACGGGGACGCGCACCCGCCGTCCCCTGCCCCCCAGGCCGCCGCCGCCTCTCTCGCGGCCCTCAGCGCCGCCGCCGCCGCGGCTCCTCCTCCTCCGCCCCCGGTGCTTCGCCGGTTGCTCCCGCCGTCGGCGTTGTCGTTGTCGTCGGCCCCGCTGTTGCTGTCCGACAGGAGCTCGTTGATTCCGTCGCGAACGGCCGGGTTTACCGTGGGGTGGAAGGCGGTTCCGCGGTCCCGGTGGTTGAAGAGCACGGCGGAGGCATCGGCCTCCATCCAAAGGAGTGACTCGACCTCCAAGATCATCCCGTAAAAGCACGCGATGCGGAGGGCCTGGTCGAAGTCCATGCGGAACAGGCTAGCGCCTGGTGGCATTGGTTGCCAAGAAACGAAGGGAAGGGAGGAGCCGTGCGGTATAGGGGAGGGGATAGTGGGTGAGAAAAATGCGCTCTTTGAGTAGAAAGAAGGACGTGTCTAGGGGCGATGGGCACGGGGGCGGCACGTGGGGCATGTATCATCGGGTAAAAAAGACCCCAACTGTGAATTGAACCATGCTTCGCTCGGAGGAGTTCCGGGAGATAAATTACGATGCGCCACTCCGCCCCCCCCTCCCCGCATGTGTGTCATCCAAGGTTCTACCCCCCCCCCTCCCCGATCAACCAAAGGTGCATGGAAAATCTATCGAAGAGAACAAAAGAAGCTCACCGTGCGAAAGCATGAACTTGACGATGTCATCGTTGCCTCTGACGAAACCGTCTGTCGCGCCGTCCGGGAAAGAAGCAAAAGAACGGTATTCAAAGAACAGAAAAAACAGCAGCAACAACAACAAGGAAGAACGAGCGACAAGTAGGGGTGGGTGGGGGCGGGGGGTGTACTCATAGTCGTGCATGCCGTGTCGTTAGACCATTGACCTCGCATCCCTGCAAAGCCGGGACGGAGCACGCCGGGTTCTCACCGGACCAGGCTATAACATCACCAAGCGCGAAGCGCCGTGAGATATTCGGCGAGTCGCATGAAGGGTGCGCTGCATCCTGCTAAGGGTGTTCGGCATCTTGTGCTTACTTCCTTGCGTACGGATGACAGCTGCGTATGAATTAATTTACTTTCTGGTGCTTTCACTTCCAGCGACAGTTGTAAGCACTGTGTAGCTGCCTCGAAGGTGCTTGACCATTTTAGCACGACGTGGTGCGATCATTCCCCTTGCGCGGAGTGAGGGTTCTCCACCC